TTAAGAAACGAACTAGAGTCTCTCAATGGTACGAATTTATTGTTTTTAAAGGCGTCATTTTGTTTTATTAATAATTAGATTAAAATGTGATAATTATATAGCAAAGATACAGGATGCTAATCCTAATCTCAATGTTTTGCTGGAATACCGTCGATGTGAGGAAGAATATTTATCACGTGTAAAAGATCTTGAAGAAGTAACATCAATTCGTGATGATTGCAAAAGGCAGTATGATGAATTGCGTAAATTACGATTGGAAGAATTCATGCATGGATTTACTTTAATATCTCAGAAGCTTAAAGAAATGTATCAGGTACATCGATTTTGTTAATTAGTATTCCCAAATTTTCAAAAGAATTTATTTACGAAAGTATTTTTCTAGATGATTACGCTAGGTGGGAACGCAGAGCTCGAATGTTGTGATAGTTTAGATCCGTTTTCTGAAGGTATTATATTCAGCGTAATGCCTCCAAAGAAAAGCTGGAAAAATATTTCTAATCTATCTGGTGGAGAAAAGGTAATTATATCTCAATTGATCAAATAGCAAATGAAAAGTAAAATTTAACGAACAGGTAAAATTTCACAGACATTAAGTTCTTTGGCTTTGGTATTTGCACTTCACCATTACAAGCCCACCCCGTTGTACGTAATGGATGAGATTGATGCAGCATTGGATTTCAGAAATGTGTCAATCGTCGCGAACTATATAAAAGATCGCACAAAAAATGCACAATTCATTGTGATTAGCTTACGAAATAATATGTTTGAAATGGCTGACCGATTAGTTGGTATATACAAAACTAATAATATGGTAAGCTTACATTACAGGTCATTAATTATAATCATTTATGTAAATTTTATTTATTATTTACATTTTGGTAAATTTAGACAAAATCTATCACTATATCCCCGCGCGATATTATGATACAATAAAAAATATGATAAAGTGGCTTTATTAATAAAATCTAATTATTAACAATTTCGGGATAAATATATGTTTTCTCTCTTAATACTGTAATATGTGAAAATAACGTTAATTAAATATATATATAATTTATTTACGTACAGTAGTAGTATATGATGCCTAAAGGTTAACGTTAATGTACATTTTTTTTACTATTTGTCACTTGCCGAATTTGTGCAAATTAAACAACCTTAGTGTGATAAAAGATGGTTTATTGATGTATTTGTTTAGTCATTAAAAAACGTACGTACGTACGTTGTCGTATATCAATATTACTGCAAAATAAATTTCAAAGAAACAATAAAAAGACAAAAATAAATAGAATGGAAGTTGATACATTTGAGTCGGCTCCGCATGCACTTCCACATATTGAA